CCTCCAGGTCCGCTGATTCCTGCCTGCCATTAGCCTTTGCTGAGGTCAATTAGCTGAATAGTTCACATACTTTTTCCATCCTACACTGTGAATGTTTGAATGATGCATTCAGTGTGCACAAGAACAAATAAAATAAAATAATTGTTCAGTACTGTAAATGAAGACAAATGTATATGCATAAATACTTTTTTTAGCCACTGCAGATTTTGAGGCTCCAAACCTGACAGGAAAACTATGCAGTACTGTAATTTTCCACCAAAATGCTGCTTATAGTACCATACAAATGCAATGATGGCACTTCTGAGTAGCCCTTCAAGGGTGAGAATCTAAAATTAGACAAAACTTAAGCAGATGGAAGCAGATGGATGTTGCTCAGCTTTCCTGAGTGTAGATGCTAAAACTGGATTTTCCTAGGGACATCAGGTGCTTCTCATCCATGTTAAATTAAAAGTTGAGCTTGATAGTTTGTTGTTGATCTTGGAAACAGCAGCAGACCAGAACATTCAGCCCTAGGCTATTATGTGGTCTTCATTAACTGTAAAGTTCAGCCTTTAAACCCACAGGGACCAGAGGTCTGAGAGAGGCTTTGGCTAGTGAACTGAACATCTACATTGTCATGACAACTGTGCAAACTCAGCAAGATGCATCATTATATGTTCACATTTGATTTGTTTAATCACAGCTCTCTCCACATGCTGCTAACTCACTCTCTGCATTTTCCTCAAGGTATTCTAATGGAGAAAGGAAATGGGCTGACTTCACTGCTATTATTAACTGAGCTGAAGGCTCATCCAGCAATGACTGACAGGACGTGTACAGCCAGTCAGCTGCTGACTCTCTGTTCATCCTGTCTCCTTGTTTTCTTCTGGGTGTGTTCACATGTTTGTGCCCAAGCTTATTATAAATTACAGTGACATCCCACCCACACATCCCATTTTCTATGAAGAACAAAGAAGAACAAATTAAGGATTTTCAGAAGTGCTTGTCAGATGGCTGACTAGTTTTGGAAACCCCCTGCCCCACCAGGGCTTTCTGACACTAGATTAGGTGGGTCTGTGTCCGACTATTTCTGTAATGTACAAAGAACAATTTGACGTTGATGCCCACCTCACACTGTGATTCTGTGGGAGAAAGGAAGTAGTTTGAACTTCTCCCTCTCTCTCTCTCTCTTTCATTCTGCCAGTGTTTCTATAATGGTCAACTTTGCACTGTGTCTTCAGCCGTGGCTGTTTGTAATACTTGTACACACAGCCTGATTTTCCAGTGACGTCAGACAACACCACATCTCTACCAGCATAATCTGGCCTTTGCCACCTTTTTAAAGCCACTCTACCTAACGTCTTTTCAGCCTAGAGGGTCTAGTGACCACTCTTTACCCCTCCCATCATGTCCTGTTTCTTAGAAAAATTGACAAATCCTTGGATTTGGGACAAACTGTTCAAACTGCAGCCTCCAGTCTGAAGCTAGTGTTAGCTGACTAACAGTAAATGTGTCAGTCCTGTAGGACGCTCTGGTTACTGCTGATGTGACACAAAGCACTGACGACAAGGCTCCAGTTACTACCAAATTAAAATCATATTAATTCAACACAAAGGTAAAGTCATGACCATGCTGGGTGGCCAATGTGACCAAGTTTTAGATGCTAACCCATTCAGAAGGAAGAACACTGACCCCTGTCGCGCCCACTGACGAATATTGTGCAACACAGACATTAAACATTAGCCAGGTCATGTAACAACACACCAGAAGGAATGTACTGTGCTTTGTTGTGATGGATGAATGTGATGTGTTATTATTACGTTGGCAAGCAGACACTGTGAACATGACACTTCCAAAAACACAGTGTTGGACTACTATAGATTCACCAGCTTTATTCTTTAAAGATACCTTCCAGACCTTACCCTCCAGGTTAAGACTTAGAAAACAGCTCAGCTATATAAAGTCTATTCTCACTGCAAAGTTTCACAGGTGAACCACAACTTGCTGTCTAATCTTGCATCATCACATGTTTATTTTGCCTGTGCATGTCTGAAATTTCGGGGCAGCAAACAGACGCCCCCTCCTTTAGCAAAGAAAAACAACCCGTTATTGACAAACTATGCACATACAGCCTTGTGGAGGGCAGTTATTTATGAGCTATAATAATGAGACAAAACACATTTTTGAGTGGAGGGGGGTCTTTAAATAAATCTTAACTAAGAACAGACTGGAGCACAATTTGGTTTGTTAAGGAAGAAATACTTATTTTGATCATTAAACTTTTTCATTTTATCTCACTGATGAAAAGGTTTAAAGGCATTTTGAGGAATATGTGCAGGGTTTCTGTTCACACACATGTTCTCTGATCATTTAAACTGCATATATACAGTAAAATCATCAAAAACAAAGGTAAGCCTATTGAAAAACATCCTGTGATTGTACAGTATCAGTATGGATCTGTGCTTTACTTTAAGTCCACTTGTATTCGCAGACAGCAAGTTATAGTCCAGTGTGAACATGAAGCTTATGTGGCTAGAAAAAGACAAACCAGGAAGGTGCAGCGAAGGGCATCTTATCAGTGCTGTATGTCAGAAAATCACTAGTGTGACCTTGATATTTTTTTTTGGAAAAATCTAGGGTAACATGTCCTTGTGTCCTGCTCCTCGGTGGGGTTTCCACATGGATTGTTTTGTTAGCTGAAATGATTTGCACCTTTTCTGTACATTAGAGATAAAGATGACAATAAAGAAACTGCTGAAACAAACATTGAGACAAGTTTGTTTTGCTCTTCAGACCATCACTTCAGGGGGGTGACATCATAAGAGTTGGTGGTTCAACTGTGGAGCCAAGGGAATGAAGATAAATTATAGAACTCACAATATCATTGTAAATAGATTTCATGACAATTTGTTGCTTCGGTTTGTCAGTCTAACTACAACAGAAACAGATGCACAATAGAAAATAGTGAAGACTGTCTAAAATTATGGCCACTCCTTCTGCATTTTCTTCAGTTTATGTTAATATTCTTATTACAATGTCAATCAAACCACCACAAATACATGTAAAACAACCTCAAAAAGACACAAAATGATCACAAAAAGACAAAATGATTGCAAAGAGGTGTAGTGTGTCTACAAAGAGATGCAAATCCACCTGAAGGACACATAAAACAGCCATAGCCTTAGATATTCATTGTACTCAAGCGGAAATTTTGTCTTGAGGGTGGCAGTGGAGAAAAGGTCAAAGGGTCACCAGAACCATTAGGCTTCATCCAGATATATCCCAAAAAAACTGATTTCAGTCTGATGAGCACTTCTCAAAATCTCTTGCTCTGTGATAGTTGACTTACAGGAAATACCTGCTCATGTTTCCTGCCTGCCAACACTAAGTATGAATGTTATGGCCAATGCAGCATTCCTTCTGAGTTGTCATACGTAATGTCCTTAATGTCGGTCACCGCCAGCAGCCAAACAAACCCACCTGTCTGCTTCCTGTGTGCCATCACCACTGCTTTTCATTACACGCACCTTTGTCATATTCTGCCAACACGGCAGAAACAGAGGCCGCAGATTTAAGACAGCACTGTTAGCAACGTCAGTGTGCACTTACAGGGTCAAGCAGATGGAGGCAGGAATGATTAGTTAAACCCAAGAATAGCAAGTTCTGAGATACTTCACTACATTTCAGAGGCAAATATTGTCCTTTTCATTTCACTTTTTTATACAAAACATACAAAAAATTATAAAATATGATGGTTTATTATAGAATAAACTAAGTATAAAACAACAGCATAACATAATATATAAGGCAGACTGGCTTTGTCATTGCCATTGTGGTTTTGCATGTTAAAACTAACTGGAGCTGGTTACTGTAACATTCCAACTCCCTAAAAATTATTTAAGTTTAATATAATCCACCTGCAGTTTCCTGTTTATACTAAGGATGAACTAAGGATGCACACACAGCATCACCACTGAAAACATTCACAGCAGCTTCTATAAAGATACTTTCATTATTTAGAAATAAAGCAGCCACTACAAATGTGTGAAATGGCTGATTAGCAGTGATAATGCTGAGGTATGCTGGAGACAAATAACGTGTGCCTTTCTACAAACATTGACTGACAGCACTTATAAGCACAGTGTTAGCATAAAAAACTGCTGTTTGCTTCTGCACAAGTTCAGATGCTGATCTTTTTCCTGACAATATAGCAGACACAATAGATGGATGCTAGATGTGCACAGTGTCATGTTAGATATGTGTAAGGTGTAAACAGAGCTCGACTGACAAGCAGTGGCAGTACAGGATTTAATCAGTGTCACTGATCAGACATGGATTCAGTTTAATTTTTTCTATGGAAAATTATTAGGATAACATTAGATATTTTCCATCCTAAGCCACATTTATCACATGTCAAACCCAGAACCTGACAAACATCAGCAGTGTTGTGGTGAACAGCCTTAAACCCCCAGTAACAGTGTGAGCTGTCTGACTTTAAAACTGAAGATTATTTCTGCAGTTTTAGTGTAAAACCATCCACAGCTTCATGTGAAACATGGGTTATAAACCAAGGGATGCCTTATGCTTATTGGTTGCTGAACTTAAGTTTAATCTTGGGTTCATTAGCATATGTGAATATGCAGCTAAAACAGTTTTTTAATTTTTTTTTTTTTAATTATGGATCTGCTGTCTCTTTAGCCTAGCTGACTGTTGTTACATGACTGTTGCTGAATGATATTTAGGCCATGCTATGACTGTGTGGCCTAGTTGTAGACTGGTTCACTGAAATGTTGACATTAGGGGTGTGTGGATACTTAGAAAACATTACATTCTGTAGCTCGATTTGAATGGTTCTCGGTTTATGGGATACTTTTTGCTCTCAAACCCGCAGCGATTTGCCCAGTCATGCCCTTACAGGACACTGGAGTCACGTGGGTTAGTGATAGTCCGTATTGCGCATCTCGATTGGCCGAGCTGCTCTCGGTCTGCCCTGTTTTTTTCACGTCATGGCGATCAGCTGTTGGAGCCCCACAACAACAACAAAAGAGCAGCAGTCGGGGACGAGGAGGAAGCTGCTGCGTACTGTGTTTGTCGATGTACAGTCCCTAAATTGTTTTTGTAGTTTATTTCTTCTGCGAAGAAACCTCAAGTTTTTCTATTTTTCGAAAAGTAACTCATCTACCTCCTGTTTAAGGATTTTAATCACGATTTTAACGCGTTTACATCTTCTTCTGCCGCAGGTGAGTTCTTTGTTTTCTTCTTCGTGGGCATTAACGGCTCCGGTGCCTGCCTCGCTTTCCCAACAATACAACAGAACCATCTTTTGTTTAAAAGGCAGACGATAAACGATTAAATGTTGATTTTAAACCTTAGCGATGCATTTTACTCGGATTATTCTTCAGCTGCAGCTTAAACCCGTTAGGCCGTTGCCGCTTTCCCTTCGCAAAACTTAGTTTTTCCTTCCTAGATTAAACTGGAAGAAGTTAATGGTATGTTCTGCAGAATATTTTATAACATATTCCAAGAGATGAAAGATGAAGAGGACGAGGGTGAGGTCCTGCCCTGTCGGTGTAGGGTTACAGTCTCCTGCCCTTCCTTCTTGCAAACCCAGTACACAAGCTGCTGCTCCTGGTTATTGTTGGGCCAGTTTGTCTTTTTTTGACTCCCATACTGGTTGGTAAATCGCATTAGCACTGAAGGAGTGGGCCGAAAAACCGGGCAGTTCAATGACAAGAAAACTGATCCAGAACCATTGTGAATTTTGGTCAGTTTCCAAGATAAAATGTCAAATAATTCGCTTCCATCAATTTCTAAATGGGGATTTGCTTTTGTCGTCTCATTGTAAATGGAAACGTTCATCTTGAAACTTCTGATGGACGTTTTTCACCATTTTCCTGTGTTTTATATGTCAAACCAGCGATAAATCCAACAAGATTTCCTAGAGATTAATCTGTATCACGAATAATCTTTAGTTGTAGCATAGCCTACCTCATTTATAGACTATTTTACACTTGGATTAATAAATAATGATTGCATGATGTAATAGATGCATTTATTGCGGTGTTGTTCAACAGAGAGCCACTACTCAATGACCCGTGTAATCGCCCAGAAAACAAACCCGGAGCATCTTTCCTTTGTATTTAGGGATTACTACTATGATGAATACATCCATATTTAGTATCCGTCCTTAAAATGTGAGGATAGATTGGAGGAAGGAACAGGTGCAGCAGATTATCAGTTTTCTGTCCGTCTCACCGTCGCGGCTACTCGACGTTTAAAGAGGCGGAGTGTGGCTTTTGTTCTAGGAATGAACAGCGCTTCTATTTTTTTTTTTACTTCTTCTTTACATGTAATGAATACGAAAAATGAGGTATACGAGAGGACTTCAACGCATCACAGCTGTTAGCGACGCATTTGATTCGAATCCAGTGTGCATTCAATGTTTGGTAATAAATGTCGGATATTCGGAATTCACGCTCTGTATTCAGGCAAATTGTGCGTTAACCTGCTAATGATGATTACGAGCAATTATTTTAACAGCTAGCCTAATTGTCTGTCTCTAAGACTCAGACTGGCGACCTGTCCAGGATATACCCCACCCCTCGCCCAGTGTCAGCTGGGACAGGCTGAAGCAGCTGTGTGTGTGTGTGTGTGTGCATCTTTTTAATGAGGGACAACAATGAATATTACTCTAGCTAAACTCCATTACTCTTACTGTGTCAAATAAAAGCTTGTCCTCTACAACCTCACAGCCTCTGAGCTATGTAAGGACAAGCACATTAAACTGCAACCTGCCTAAGTCGTGGTGATTCACTTTACAGCCTCTGGTGGCTCCCGCCTGGTGATATTTGTCTTGCGCGAATACTGAGAGAACCGTGATAAAAGTCCCTGGAGTGTCTGTTTTTGTACCATTAATAAGAAAACACATTGGTCTCATGATGCTCGTCAGGTTGAACCAGCAACTGTAAACCGCAGTCAATAAAAGCAGTTGAAAAAAATCTCTTCATATCTTTAATAACATGCTTCACAGTTTTCTAAACCAGGACTGCAAATTACAGTTATGCACATTATTTGTTATTTTCTTTCCATTAGTTTATTTTCAGTTTAGTTTGTAAATGGTCAGAAAATATGGGAAAAGATCCAGAGTACAAAGTGATGTTTTCAAATGTCTTGTCCAATGAACTCTAAAACTGAACGATATTTAGTCCAAAATGGTATAAAAGAGGGAAAGAAAACAGTAAATATCAATTAGTTTCTGTCAAGTGATTAATCATTTGAGCTACAGATGCAAGAGTTAGGCAATCAGTTGATATAAAATGAATTATCCACTATTTTGATAAGAAGCTGATGTTTCTATAAATTTTTGACTATGATGTTGAAAAAGCTGCTGTAAACTGCTGAGGAGCAAACAGTTTATGTGAAAGTCTGCATCATCTCTCACATGACTTGAGATTTGGAAAAGCATCTTGTTGAACCTTCTCATGACTTCAGGATTCTATAGGTAAAATCATTTTCTTTTCTCCTCTCAGGACTTTTTGTACTTTGCACTAATCGATCCTGACATTGAGCAATGTCCATCCTGCCTCTCCTGGCCCTCAGATGATCCATGACCACAACTTATTGATGCACTTTAGCACCTTTCTGGAGCCTCTCCCGCTGTGAACTCCACAACTGATGACCAAAGTGCCTGCCGCACCTCCCCGCTGTCGCCTGGAGCTGTGCGCCTCCCCTCACCTTTCCCTCTGCCTCACGCACCTGTGGGACGTCCCAGGATGTTCCAGAGGTTCACCAGTGCTCTGTTTGGGGATGACATGGAGGAGCTGAGTCAATGCAGCAGACCTGGAGACAGCAAAGGGGAGGAGGAAGAGGAGGACTGGATCCTGGTGAACTACCTGGGTGAGTCTGACAAGAATGTGCTGAGAAATAACTGACTGAAGGTAAACTGGTTTGAAGAAGAGACGTTGTCTTTTTTTAATAACATGAGAAAACACCAGACAGTTTGAAAAGACATCACATTACATTTTACTACATGTGCTTAGGAAAAGTATAGTATTCCAGAACTAGTTTTTCCCCAGTGTCTGATAAACCCAGTGACAGTGGGACAAGATGTGGTGTCTCTCAGCAAAGTGAAATTCATCTAATGTTAAATACAGTGAGATTGTTCACAACTTCGAGAAAATGTTTTAAGCAGAACTTGAGTTAGGAATATTTGAGACTGTTTTAATGGCAGGTACATGTTGAGTTTCCAGAGCTGTCTGAGATTAATAAATAGGCCCAGTCAAAACAGCAACACACACAGTGTCTACAGACACATCGCACATTGCAGTGACTTCCAGATGGCTCACAGTGAATCTTGGCACAGCTTCAGTTTGGCCCACCGTTAACCTGCCGCAGGTCTGGACTTGACCCATCTCAGATTCCACAGCTGTGTGGAATACAGAAGCCATCTGACCCACTTCAGGCTGGAAGGGCGGGGTGGGGGTGGGGGGCATCAGGCAATTTATGGTAGTGAACCTGTAAACAGGTCAAACAAAACTGCTTGGGGAACCAGAGGAGGTAAAAATAGATCCTGATGGTTCCGGTTCTGGGCCTGCGAAGGTGGACATGTATGGACACAGGGCTGCCTCTAACCTCCCTCTGGACAGATCATGCAGACTCCACACAGAAAGGCCCTAGGTTGGCTCGGGCTCAAACCCGAAGCCTTCTTGCTGTGAGATGACAGCGCTAATCACTGCATCATCCTGCCACCCACCCCTGTACATATAGAGGTATAATAATTTATTAGACTTTATAGATTCATTTCCTTATTTACTCATTTTTTTTATCTGAATGTCTGTGTTGATTTCATTTGGAGCTGCAGCTGATGATTAGTTTCATAATTGTTTGACCTGATAATTGTTTTCTTTATTGACTGATAAATTGTTTAGTTTATAAAATATGTGAATGTTAGAAAAAACACCCCCCAAGTCTCTCAGTTGAAGGAGCCACCTTCAGATGCTTTGTCCAAAATTCAAAGATATTCTATTTAAAATGATGTACAGCAGAGAAAAGCAGCAAGTTTTCACATTTCAGAAGCTAGAACCAGCAAATATTTGGCATTTTGCCTGAAATAACTGAACTAATGAATCAAAATAGTTCAGTCAAAGTCATTTTCTTCCTGTCTGTTTGGTCTGTGCATTGTGTAATCCTATACAGAGGTACTGAGGACCAGAGACAGATTCTTTGGAGATGAGCGTGACTCTGGAGGTAGCATAGCACGGTCCTGACCTGTATTTGTTTACAAAGTGATTTGCAGGCACAGTGTATGTGCAGATGGTGGCAGCAGAAAACATTCTAAAATGGTTGTCTTACATGCTCATACATGAAATGCAAATATAGCATTTGTGTCAAAACGAACAAGAAGTAATGATCGCATGCTGCCATGCGCAGCCTGCATGTTGCAGACTGAAACATGAAACCAAGTGGGCAGTTGTACAAGGCTGTGCAAAGGTGAAGTCAGCTGTTTCTTTGGACTGAAACACTTTCGGGTTCCCAGAGGAGACAGCGTTGTGTGGAGACTTAGCGGGTTTGTTCACAATCCTCATTAACCCCAAACACAGCTTGGTTCCATCCTGCTGCAGCGTTTGCCTGCAGCCTCTGGAGGAAGAGACAAGCAGCCGAGGGAGCCGACCAGCGAGAGCTGTGCTGCTGCTGATCAGCAGAGCCAGCAGTCTGCAGCCTCTCAGGTCTGTTGTGGGTAAACAAGGTGAACTCCTGGGTGTCAGAGCCACTGACTGGTGTTTATGTCACGTGTGGAAGTGAGCTCCAAACGCTCACTGGCATGCACGGAAACATAGAAAGCTACTTGTAAACACTGCGCACAGAGGTCAGAGGAGATCATTTGGTGACCTTTTTACTTCACCCCTACTTCTGCCTGGGTAAAACACAAAAAACTGCAGAGTCTGACTTTTGACCGCTGGACCAAGTAGCATGTCCCCAAACAGAGACATCCACTCAGTCCACACAGTTATTTTTAGCTTCCAGTCTGCCAGCTTGAGCTCATGTTGCCTGTGAACTTCCTCTGTCTCTGTGAATCTCTAGACATGAACAGTGACTTACAGCTTTTGACAAGCATCCTGTTTTGAAAGTAGCAGCGTTGGTCATGTATTAGTGCATGATTTTGTGTGTAAAAAGGTGCAGTGGTTTGGGGATTGGGTGGGTGTGAGCAGATTA